CTTGTTAGTAAACAAGTAAAAGTTATTATTAAACAAGAAACAATGTATTGAAACTGTAAAGCTGTATAAACTATTACTGTGCAGTACCACTAACAAACATTTTGCCACTTTTCTAGACCTTTCCATATATTGATTTTGACTGCCAATTTTCTGTGATGCAGGTGTTAGTGGTAAAAACTGGAAAACTTAAGTAGCTTTAGTTAACAACAGTAATGTAAGAAATACACAGAAAGCTGATAGATCAGTTCTGACTTGAGATATTAATGAAAATAAAATGTTTATATTTTAGTCTTTAAAATTGATACTCTTTTGTGTTGTAAGTCTGCAAACATACCACTGTGCCACTGGGAGGGCTAAATACAGTCAATAATAAAAAAAGCATTAATGTTTCCTTCATGTTGGCTAACTTAGGTGTTGATTAAACTGAAGATGCATTTTTAAGTACAGGATTTAATCAGAGGTTGAATGGTGTAAAACATTCAATAAGTGTTGACCTCATAGCGCACAAAAAAGCAGAGATCGCTTTTCAAAATATAACACAATCACAAGTGGGTGAGTTGCTGCAAATTTGGTTTGCTAATATTTTACAAAAGTTACCAATAATCATCGGTACATGACAAAAGTGTATACGTGAAAGTTAATGCATCATGCATGACACAGTATAATGCTTTAGGACATGAAGAATCAGACTCTTAAAAAAATGGTGTAATCTAAAACTTATTAGAGTTTATGTCAGGTGATAATACACTTATCAATAGACTGTATAAAAATAAGAAAAATATGTTCATTTACATACATGGAATGGGTCAAAATCAATTTCTTAAATAGGGGAAGCAAATTACAAATAATAATGCAAGCAAAGTTTTTAAAGTGTCCCACTTATTTTGATGAAACTCAAGATGTATCATAATACGAGCAAGTAACTTTAATTCTCCTTTATATTGCCAAAGTTGTTTGTACAGTTTTACAGGATTGACAAACATATGAAGAATCTTGGGTTACTCATAAAACATACTTTTCCATCATTTGCATTTGCAGCACAGTGCTACGAAGGTGTTGCTAATATAAGGGGGTCATAGAGTGATGATGCAACTTGTATTATATAGGAAATGCCCCCCAGAGGCTCAGCTGTAAGTCAGAGGGCTTATAATGATTAGAACTTGGCTTCAATACCTGTAGTGGACACAGCACAGATAGCCAGTTGTATAGCTTTGAACTTAAGAACAAACAAATTTTACATGAAAAATCTTTTGGTTACATACATTCAATGTTACACTTATATACTAATAATCTGTGCATTTTCAGTTCATGCTTTACTATTGCTACTTTGTAACAGGCTTTAGTTCAGCTTAATTTTATACACAAAATTACAGATAGATCAGCCAGCTATTTTTTGATAAATTATTTGTAAGAGGCTTTTTTGGTGGTGCCAAAACTTTTAATCCACTTGACACATGGAGGGTTGTTGTATTGAAGCAGTTAAAGTATTATTAGACAATTCTGAAGCTGTCGCTCAAACAATATAAAAAATATCACAAAGATATTCACTAAATGAGGGAAAGCAAATCCAATTTTAATGTGCACAACAAAACTTGAGGTTATATTTACATTACTTCTAAGTATGCTTGCTTAATGTAGTCTGCTTTCAAAACTACTCCAGTAATCCACTTTGTGACCGAAAAATTGGCAGTAAAATCAACTATTGAAGTAGTCAATTCTCTTCTGGATGAAAGCTTTTTCATTTAGAATTGGGAGTGTGCCTCAAATATTTATACAAAAAAATCATCATTCTGGCCCACAAAATTCTGCATTGTCATAAAATTCCTTCAACATTAAAAGATGACAATAAAGTTTGAAAATGTACAATCCTTTTGCAAAATCACAATTCTTTTCAGAAAAATTTTTTGTGTTACCCACAAAATCGAAAATAGGTATACATACAAACATTGTATTAACTAAAATAAGTCTATCTGTAATGTTTACAATCTATGTGAAGATGGACTAGTGAGTAAATGCAATATATTTTACAGCATGGTTAAATATGATGAAGGTACTCACTTCTAGGTGCAGTTTTGATTGCAATTTGAATATGTTCAAGGATCAATAACTTAAGATTTGTTTCCAATGATTGTAATGCTTTTCAAACTGTTTTTAACTGTACCCATGACTTCAGCATCTTGTGATTGGTCTTTTCATCTTTTGCAAAGGCTTAAAACTTATCTTTCCAATACAACCAGCCAGGAATAATCATCCTCATTGGCTTTGTTAGCAATAGGATGGGAAGTTCCCATTGAATGTAAAGACCTGGCCAGAAGTTTTAATTTCTTCCAGTATCAAGAAGTCAACATATTGTACTTCATAAAATCAAGTGTTACAATTTTATCATAAATTTCTGAAGGATCACACTGTCAGCCTTATATTCTAACTCTCTGAGTACCTCTTTGTTGGAATACAGTCACATACTTATGTATGGTTCAATTTAATGTTGTGAAGTGTGCAATAATAAAATAATATTTATAAAACACAAGAATTACGTTTTTAATCTTAGAATGTGTTAAAATGGTAAAATTTAAAGCCTAAATTATGAAAAAAAAATTATAAATACCCTAGCTAAAGGGATACAAAGACTACTTACAATCAATCAAATAGTGAAATCTTGTAATCCAAATAAAATGCTGGAATGCAACCCATGCTTAAAGCTTTTTTTTTTTATTTTCATTAAAAGAGGCATGACTTATATTACTTGCAAATAAAACTACTGAAGTTTTTGGAACAACAGATGAAAATAAAGCAGTCCATAGATTGACTAGTATTCCAGAGGAATAATGATAATCATGAAGGAGAAAAAAATAATTCAACATAGTTAATACACCCAAACACATACTTTACAAGTAATTATTTCAGTTTTCGTATGAATGTAGAAAAATAATTCTAATCACTTCTAATTATAATGCTAACTTGCTTTGAACAAAAAGCTTTTTGAAGAGTTAACACTATGTACAAAATACTTCTCAACTTTGATTTGCAATGAAAGATAAAACCTTACCTCTAAATCTTTTAGTTTAAAATTTTAATAGAAAAATGTAAAAAAACAACAAGAAAACAAATGCAATCAAGCTAAAATTTTAGCTGATTATACATAATAGATTATACGTACTACTATTTCTTGTACAAAAATTATGAAACCAGTGTAGAAGTTCCAAAATATTCTCTAATACAGGTGTTTTTCACAGACATTGTTCTTAATTACTAAGGTGAAAATTCTATCAGTCTGATAACTCTAAATTGAAAAATATGCATTCATGGTAAGATCACTAAAGAGCTATCTAAAAAAACACATGGTAAAGCCCAAAACACATTTCTTCTCCAAGTATTAATTAACATATATATTGGAAGCACGATACACTGAAAACAGTTGTACATGAGCCAGCCAGACTTAGCTTGAGAGATTCTTATACAAGCATGGTGTCACAATATACATGCAATTTTACATGTGTTCTGAAAAACTAACCTACAATGAAAGAAAATCCTTAAACCCTAACTATATGCAGGGGCAGATCTACTATTAAACTAATGAAGCTTAAGCTTCAGGGCCCCTAATCCCGAAGGGGCCCCAGAAGTGACTTTAGTCCATATGCTTAAAAATTTTAGGTCTACTGTAGTGGCGGGACTGTTACTACATAGAATAGGGAAGTTTAGGGGTGAATAGCTACTGTACTATAGCTGGGTGTCCTGGTAATATCCCAGGTAGAATCAGGACTTAAGAATTATGTTCCTATTGAATTAGATGAGTGTAGTGTTTTGTATTAATTTCGTTTTTTTCTTCCTTAATGTTAAGTATATAGCAAACAGATAATAATAAAAAAGTAAATTGATTGAAAAGGAAGAGCACAAAGCGAAGGAAAACAGAGTTGAAGATTTGAGAAGCAGTAATCAAAGAGACTGTGAGAGGAGGAGTGGGCATTAGCCATGTGGCACTCTAGTTTAACAGCAGTATGGTACAGTAGGCAGGTTAGAGTTAGGCAGGACCTAATTCAATACAAAATAATAGTTTGTAAAGATGGAGTGTCATGGTAAGGTGGCTGTTCTGCTGTGGCTAATGTAATTTTTTTCCCTTTTTAGCACAAGACCCAAGAGGAATAACAATGAGTCCAAGAAAGTACTTAAGTGGATACCAAAAATGCAAACTCAAGGAAAAGCGATCTGATGAAATTTCTAAATGTCAAAAACTATCAAAGTATTTTTCAATGTCAAGTTTGTCAACACATACAGTTGAAACAAGCCAAGCAAATACCAGTGAAGCCAACGATAGTGCACAACCGTGGGAGCTTTTTCTAGTAATATTCAACTCAATGTTGATGCTTTTGATACAGATGACGATCACAGTGGTCAACATGAAAGTACCGCGGAACAAGCATGAAGCAAATTCAGTGATTTCGAAGAATACAGTGACCTCACAAACTGGCCCATAACAGTTGATAATAATTTCATACAGAATTGTTTAATGCAAGACATCGGGTTTTTTCAAAATAAAAAACAGATGATGTATATACCAAATCAAGGAAGATTTACAAGGATCAAAACAGAAGTTTCTCAAACAAATATTTTGAAAAAAGATTGAAAAATGGCCAGACTGTAATGAGATCCTGGTTAGTTTACTCAAAGAGCAAAGGCTCTATATACTGTTTTGTTTGAAAACTCTTTTCTAAATGCCAAACATCACTTACAACAGGTGGATTTTCTGACTGGATGAATGTACTCAGAACTCTGGAGAATCATGAAGACAGCATGGAACATAAGAGGGTGATGTTGTGTTTAATAACAAGAAAGTCAAATAAAAATACTGTGGATCAGCATCTTGAAGAACAGATGAGAAAGACCATACAGTACTATTTTGAAGTGCTGAAAAGAGTTGTAGCTGTTATAAAGTTTTTAAGTGAAGAAGGTTTGGCATTTAGAGGTCATGAGGAGAAGAGGGGCTCACTAAATAATGGAACTTCATGGGGGCAACTGAACTTATTGCAGAGTTTGACCCATTTTTACATGAACATCTCGAGAAATGTAAAAATGAAAAAGTAAATGCTACTTACCTATCCAAAACCGTGTATGAAGAATTGATAGAAATCATGGGAAAACATGTGCAGGATGATATTGTGAATCAAATCGACAACCTAAACACCAAATACTACTCTATTATTGTTGACTCTACGCCTGACCTGACACATATTGACCAGCTGGTAATTGTGATTCGATACTGTTATAATGGAAAACCCTGCGAGAGATTTTTACCGATAGAAAACCATTCATCCACGACCTTGTTCAACAAAATACAACAAGTCCTATGTGAACATAAGCTTTCACTTGAAAATATCCGTAGTCAGTCATACGATAATGCATTTAACATGAAGGGCTCGGAGAAAGAACTGCAAGCTGTCTTTAAAAATGTTAACAGGTACACAGACTATGTACCAGGTGCAGCCCATTCACTTAACTTTGTTGGAGAAAAGGCAGTGTCTACTGTACCTGAAGTTGTTGACTATTTTGGTATTTTGCAGCAGCTGTATGTTTTCTTTTCTGGATCTCCACAAAGATGGGGGATTTTAAAGACACAGGGCAATCTAGATTTTTCTCTAAAGAGCTAAAGTGTAACTAGATGGTCTACACACTATGAAGCAGTCCGGGCAATCAAAAATGGATATACAGGTATTTTACAAATTCTCACCCATATTTTTGAAGACTCAGACCAGAGTCCTGAATGTAAATGAGATGCAAAAAATTTATACCACAAGTTGTTACAGCTGGAATATGCTATTTTAACAGTCATTTGGGAAGAAGTGCTTGAGCATTTCAACAAAACAAGTAAGAAACTACAAAGCCCTGGTTTTGATGTATTTGAAGGTTATGTTCTGCTATCATCTTTACTTTCGTTTTTTGAAGAACTCAGAAAAAATTCAGCCAACAGGATTGCACACTATGAATCAGAAGCAAAAAGTTTATGTGAAGATATCACCTCAAGTTATTCTGATGCTTCCAAACACATTGTAACAAAAAAAAAATTCAGATGGAACAAGTGGTATTGCTTCTTTGAGAGGAGCTGACAAATTTAGGATAGAGGTTCTAAATCAACATTATGACTGCTTGATAATCCAGTTACATAAGAGGATTGACCCAGATGAGCAGATTGCGAAAAGGTTCAAGTTTTTCTCAGAATTGGTGAACAATTCTGAAATTGATGAGGACAGTATTAAACTTGTAATATTGTATTACAAAGATGATATTGACCACGAGTTAGTAAACGAGTATTATCAGTTCAAAGAATATTTGCACCTTAGGAAATCCCAGAACACAGAAGAAAGCACGCCATCTAAAATGCAATGCACAGAAGTTCTTCAGTTTATTTGTGAGCAACGTCTAATTGATGTGTTCCCAATATTACTACTGCTTTTAAGCTGTATTTGACAATGCCTATCACGAGCTGTGAAGCAGAAAGGAATTTTTCAAAGCTATCCTTTATAAAGAACAAATTTTGGTCTACCCTGCTTAAATTTTTTATGCATATTGTCTCTAGAAAATGACATTGCAAGGAAGCTCTCATATGACAAAACTGTACATGAATATGTTGCTAGAAAACACAGAAAAAAAAAGAGTATATTGTAAAATGTTCTCCATGTAGTATGTATTCTCATAGGTGTCTAAAATAAAATATTATATTGACTGTGGTCTTTTCTCTGTTTTATTTCATCATTCTATGATGCATCATGCACGTATATAACATTTCCCTAATTTTCATCCCCCATAACTCGAAAACTATAAGGTACAGGAAATTTTTATTCACACCAGTGATTTTGACATGCGAGATAATCCAATACTGTAATTTTAATCAAAATCTGAGATGTCATGGTTAAATTTTATAAAATTTCTGGTGATCTGTCATAGAACAACCCCATTGAAGAAGATAACAGTGGTTACCCATACCTCGTTGTTGGTTGCAAAGGGGTCCCCATAACCGTTAAAGCTTCAGGGCCTCAAAAATGTAGGCCCGCCACTGACTATATGTATTTATACAAACATATGTGTATTTATATGTAAAACTTATATAGCTCAGGAAATTACAATGTTTTAAAAAAGGATCTGAGCCTGACATAATTACGAGATAATAGATGATTGCTTAACTTGCAGGAAGTACAAAGTAGAATATTTACAGCCATGTGCTACTTCACAGATCTCAGGAACAAAAAAAGAAACATTAAAACTTCTGATATACAGTCCTTGAGCATTTTTGAATACCTTTATTGTATAATTATAAATATATAATAACATAAGGTGATAAAGTTATAGGCTCAAGACTAAATATTTCAGTTGTGGTAGAAATTTTACTCCATTAGAGTTGATCTTCTGCCAACAATGAACTGATTTTTTAATTCTTGTATTAACACATATTTCTATCAAACTTCTTACTTAATAATTATATGGTACAGCATTATGGCAATAGGTTGAAATATAGGTAATGTATATACATAATGTGTGATAAATATACACACATTTTATTGTGCAATAAGTTATGAGAGACAAGCACCATCTGCCTGCATGAACCAAAAGCTAAGCCTTTTACAGTCTTAACTAATTTAAAGTAACCTTTAGCAAAACACTAGATTTCTTTCATATATACCATCATGATTTGATTATATAATATATTCAACAATTTCTTATATTTGCATCTCAAATAGAAACAACTATATATAGTGGTGCAGTTCCCATGCACTTACCAATTTTTCATTCAAGGTCTTGCACATTCGTAGTGCATACTATAACACTACTTTCCTTTTTTCTTATCACTACAGCACTTACTACATATTCTAACTGTAGTGAATACATTCATTCAGTTAACAGGATTCTGCTTCTTATATGTTTTTAGCATCTTTCAAACCAATTTGGAGAAACAATGAACTATGATTTACATGTTCGTACAAATGATGTATAAAGTGTAGCTTTCATGTAAAATGAAAAAGAATATTTTTTTGAATAAATTGAGCAACAAAAATATTACTAGGGATCTCTTAAACATTCTGTTGTCTTCTAAAAAAACTTGTAACAACAAATAGAAATAACCATTTAAGTTGCATTCATTTCATTAATAACTTTTTAAGTTTTCAAAGATCTATGACATATGTATTATTAAAAATTAAAATAAAGCTGTAGTATGAACATGTCTTACGAACAACACAAGATGGAGTTATTGATTCACAATTGAATTAGAAAAATTAGGTCATCATCTTACCGTATACAAGTAAAAAGTGTAAAATCTACATGATGGAGGAACAAATACGATTCTATTTTACAGAACTAGTTTAATGAAAACATAAATGAAGGCACTACTATTGAAAATATATTATCACAAATATTTAAAGTTTCACTGATGTTTTGCAAGGTCACATCACTTGATTTAACCTGTCCACACATTAAAAAACAGAAAAGGAAGACATTAAGAAGTTTACTTTCTAAACTTCCAAAATCAAGTTTATGTGAATTGTTTTACAACATTAGATTAAAATTGTCTTCAAAATAAGAGTATTTTTTTAACAAAACCAAAACACAATGATATAAGAGTATGAAAAAATTGGTCCAAGTGACAGGAATTCCAACCAACAATGTAATATCACAATGTATTGTAGTCTATCTCTTCTTACAGATGCAATGAAAGTGATTTCACTTCAGGCAAGAACATTTAAAAATTCCTGACTTTGAGTGTAAACAATGCAGTTACTGCTTCAAAAAATAATAGGAAATAACTTTTTGTTCACATCACATTTACATTCTTTCTATCATTACACAAAATGGTAAGGATATGTATTCATATGTTAACTTACCATCATTACTAATATGGTACATTAATGTACCTCAGACATCTAAAATACCTACACCTTGATGAAAACAATATCCTGCTTGGCAGGCAAAAGGTACCTAATAACATAAGGAAGAAAAAACATCATTCAGGAACATTTTCATCATCACCTTATGTGCTGGAACAGTAACAGTTCAAATAAGCAGTAATATCATCTACCAACAATAATGAAACAGGTATTTTGCTGATACATCCTAAGTTACAACCAGAGACACATTATGTGAGATGTATTCTAAAATTAGTTTAAAACTGTCTTCAAAATAATAGTACTTTTAACAACACCAGAATATAAACAATCACATAAGAGTAAGACAAAATAGGTCCAAGTGACAGAGATTTCACCCAATAACGTAGTATCACAATGTATTGTAGTCTAACTCGTCTTATAGAAAAAATGAAGATAATCTTCTTCTCGTGGCTTGTCAAACTATTTAGGTGTTATATCTGTTTCAACATATAAAGCTTTTGAAGCTTTCTTTTGAATCAAGAGTATCAAAAAAAAACTTTCTATCACTTTAAAATTTTCAATCAAAATTTCCTGTGGTACTCCTCTGGCTTGTTCAAAATACTGGGGGCCACAAAAACTTTATTTTATTATATTTTTCACAAGGAAGTTTCCTGCAGCCAAACAAGTCTTGTGAAGAGTTCCACTCTCTCAGTTTCCTGCCACCAATGGTACAGCAGTAATGGTAAAAATATTGCCCTGATGTTAATTACCCTTTCCTCAAGTGGTAATTACAGCATTAGAACTAGTTCTTTTTGTAAGATAAAAACAGTACATCATGCTGCATTAAATTATATACTTGAATTGCATTTTCTTGAGCTCACTTTTCTACTTTTAATGGTTGCACCAGTTACATTCCCCTTGAAAGCTGCACAAAGCTTGCATGAGTGGTTTATTTTTTTTTACTGCAGACAGGCCTGTATCTTCTCTATCCATTCTTGGGCTGCTGGACCATCAGCTGCCATGAAATTGTATATTCTCCTTACAGTCCTCAACTGGAAAAAAAAAAAGTTATGATTTTCCTTCACCAAATTCATAATGAATAAACAATCTAGTCAGTGTAAAACTGTATAAGGTTCATGACAGAATTAATTACACAAAAAATTAACATTTTAATACAAGGGTGAACTAGTTAATTTTACTTTATAAAATTTGTACAATATTATATACAAAAACAGTATTACAGTAAAGTAAAAAAATAATACTTTTACTGTATTTGGAAGATATTCTATATTTATTATTGGAGCACTGGAGAAATGCTCTGATTTTATCAAGTTCTACCGAAAACATAACGATAACAATTATGATTTAAAGAGCAAATATTGATTAATTAATATTAGATTATCAGATTTTATTACAGTGCACCAAATTATTATTAAAACATACATTTCAATAATTCTCCAATACTTCTATATAAATATATTGTAAAACAAAATATTCAAACCTGAAAACTTTACATTATCTGTTCTCAAATGTAATGAGAATTTTTTTTTTTAATATACAACATGTAAATAACATTTTTTAATTCATTTTTTGGCCAATCATAATATAAGTTACACAGTTTAGTAAAATAAACAAATATTTGTCAGATATAATTAAAAGATAAGTTAAAATAAATTAATTAAAAGGTAAAAGTTTAAAAAAAAAAGCTCAGGATTAATTCCCCAAACAACATAATTGATAAGCCAATTCAAGTACTGCAAAACTCACTGTTTGCTGTAGAGATTGAGAAGAACTTGAAATAAAACACCCACTTTAATTACTTTGATGATTATATAACAAAGATTAATACATATTGTTTTTTACAGTTCATATTTGGTTATATTCCATAGTAATACAGAATGTAATTCTGCACAAATTTTAGTAACTTAGACATTTTCTTTGGAATTTAAAAGATTATTCTCATCTTTTGTACTTTTTTGGTATTTTGAAGGTTATGATAACTGAAGTACACTATTTCAACGTATTAAACAAAAATATACAAACCACTAATAAATATTCATATATTTTCAGCTGTTCTGTACAATTGATGATGCCTATGGAAAGACACTGAGAATATTTGGTCTTTATTTGCTCCAGTTTACCAGCTAAAAGTACCTAATCAGAGTAGTTGAAAGCTTAAAGAGCATGGATTTTTTTATTTTTTTTGAGCAGGTATCATATGCATTTGAACCCTGCTCATCCATCCAAAAATCAGGAGCTCTATCACAGGGTCAACCTGTGCCCAATATGTTATTAATGAATGTTTATTTAAGTTATTGTACTTCAACTATTAATAGCTCATGTTTATATTTCTGCATAAAAATAATTAGTGAAAAGAAAGAGCCTTACAATACTTTACCTCTCCATATCCATTGTTCTGGCAAAATTGAGGATAGATTTTCAGGAAGAATATATTTAATGAAATATGAGGTTGAAAATAAAGAGCTATCTGTACTTTAACACACACTTAATGTTCTTTTGACTGTATACAGTTTTTCTGATACAGGAAGATTTTTCTTTTCTAATACACTTTAGATCATAATTATTTATTCCTGGGGACACCAACATGAGGAACATGCATTAAGGAACTGTAAAAAAAACAAACTGATTTAAAAATACAAATGATCACATTACACAATAACTTTTATGGTGATTCATTTTTAATTATATCTCAGAGATATATGAAAATCAGTGCTTCCCAAACTTTTTCAGCTCGTGGCACACTTTTAATGTCCAAACGTTTTTGCAGCACATGTAAATAAATCTGTAAGCCAGGCCTAGTAGCACTCGCTGACTAAGATAGGCAGAATTCACTGTTATACTGTGTATCAAGGAGAAAATAAATCAAATTAGAAATTTTAAAAATTTATTAGATTAATAATAAATTTACATTACTAAGTAAAAATTACTTAATAATTGCAAAAATTCCACATCACACCCGAGACCCTTCCGCGGCACACAGTTTGGAAAGCACTGTTCTATGGTAACAAGTAAAGTCTGAATAACACAAATACTAAGACATACGTCAAAGAATGCTTTCTCATCACATTTCTTTGTCACCCCCTGTGGTGGAGCAGCTGATGTTACGGAAACAACATCTTCCATGTCGATGAATCCTTTGCAATGGGGCTCTTCCATAACATCATAGTAACGTAGCTGTAATATAGCAAAATTTCACAAAATGAGAATAAAAATAGGACTCTAGTAAAACATCAGTTCATAACTCTTAACAAGAAACATTTTAACTCTTGGTGTACTAAAACGACTTCATTGCAACATTTACAAATCATAAACTTCACATCATATGAAAATCATTCCATTACAGTATTCCAAATACAGGAAAAACAAGATAAACCTTACATTAAAACATAACTTTTACAGTAATGATAAATACAATCATAAACTAGTAGCTGAATAATCTTTAAGAACACGACACCAAGATAAAAAAAAGGAATGTACAACTGCCAAAAGAGATGTTATAAACTTTAAAATAAAATTCATGTAATAGTAATATATGCAACAGTAAACAAATGATAATGTTTACAAATATTAGTTTCTTATTTTCAGTTATAATCATGTAACAAACAGAGAATAAACATGGCATTTGCACTGTTCATATTACAGCAAAAAGTTCAAGTATTACAATAATGTATTAAACTTACTTGATGTTTGATAGAATCGAGCACAAACCATCTCTGTTTCCAACCTTTCAAAAGTGCTCCCCGTTTAAAAAGATAGCCTTCATGGGTTCTATTTTCAGCAACATTAGATGAAAACTGGTTGTAATACTGACTGCTGGTTTGTACTGTTGTCACACCTGGGAACATAAGCCACAAACTGTAACATAAATTCAACAACCACACTAGAAATATGGAACATCACACACATAGAACAGTCCAATAAAAATATGGTACAAGTTACAGAGTGAGAAAAGTACAATGTGTGGGAGAGAGATCTGGCAAAGTCAGATCTGACTATAGTAAAGAACCCTGTAGAGATTTAAACTCTACTGGCAAGAGTTGTATATACAGTAACATTCAGTTTAAAACCAAATGTTTAAACTCAGCTCACATCATCCAATTCCTAAACTCCTAGTGACATTAGAAGGCCATGGAAAAATATACTTGTTCATAATGAAAAAGGGAACAAAATAAGATATATTCATCAATATAAGCTCTACAAACAGATATTTTTGTGGGTGTCAATCATCTAATTTATAATAGAATTAATTGTTACTTTTATAAAGGTTAAGAAACAAAATTAGTAATTCAAACATTTTACTTTAACCAATCTTTTTCTCTAAATATATCATAACAACATTAGTTTGAATACAAGAAAAACATTATCATTACTATATATACTATTGAATAATTGTTAGAAAATAAAAATATTACAGTATCTGATATTCAGGTTCATTATTTCAGGTAGAAAATTCACAAATGCTTAGTGCCAAATGCTTCTAAAAATAAGTCAGGCACGTAAAAATTTAAAAGGATGTACCAAATTGGCATGAAAAATGTTATGATGATTGTCTTAAACATTCTAGGTAAAACAGCGTGTTCATTTCCAGAAGAAGAGTATACTCTGAACGTAAATCAAAATTTAAAATTTTTGTACCATGAATTTATTACCACAAATGCAGGGTTTATTTTACTTCTGTTGTTTATTAACTTGTTATTTGGCCAATTTCTACTAAGTTTCCAAACAAACCATTGCTCAACCAAGGTTCAAATCTTAGCTGAGCATATACAGAAAGTTAATGCAACTTACAGGTCAGTGTCATGTTAAATAGCGTACTTAGTTATATAAAAGTGGCATTTATGGACACTTTCCAGACTATTTAAATTTCTCCCTACTTATATATATGTATGGTTGATCCATATTCCTTTGTTTTACTATGCCATTAAGTACAAGGGATAACTCTGTTCTGGACATTCAAAATCCCTGTCTGAACATGTCTTTAAGTGTTAGTAAGGGCTGTTACATTCCCTTCCCAAAAGCAATTAATTTTCTGTGGTAGTCAAACTACCTATGATATATCAATAATGTCAAAATATAGTTCTGATACATTACATTTCACCATGACTATACAGTCGCTACAGTTGTCATGTGACTTCATTTGTATATTCAAAATAATTTGAATACAACATAGTCAACCCTCTATATATTCATCTTCCAGCATAATATATTTATTTAACGTTCTCAGAATTAAGAAATTCATAAGTCTGGCCAATGCAATTAATTATGAATTTCATAATGTTTTGTCAACATTTCTAACAAACTAAAACAACTGCTAAGTATTATTTCTGAATTCTAACATTTTCACATTTAGCTGAATTGGAAAATTTCAAAGTTACTAGATATTAGTTTTTTTCTCAGAATCAAAGTGTGGGTTGGAATGTAATTTAGTTAGCGTCTGAACCATTGACAGGTCAAGTAAAGCTAAAATGGATGTTAGTTCTCATGAAGTATTATTAATTTATGTGATGTAACAAAAAATGTCTACCATTAATTAAAGTATTAAAGCACTTCTTTTTGCTTAAGGTTACATGTAACATCCAAGTAAAAATTTTTTAAATAAAAGAGAAATTGGTAATACATATTGCATATACAAAATCAAATATTTCTCTACTTAAATGTGTTTGATATTTTCAAAAGGGAAAAGAAACAAACTCACTGGATCCCACTGAGGAATTCTCAGCACTTCCACCCTTGGACAGAGAAACAGATGCAGCTCCTGAATCGCTGACAGACTTGTATTTCGTACAGTTCTTGGGAACCGATTCCATACACTTCTCATGACAGTTGTAACCACAGTCCATACATCGCATACCTACAAATATGCCATATATTTGTCACTCAAAAGTCATACTTTGGTGTGAAGTATTTTATCTTAATCGTCAATAAGAAAAAGACTGTAGTACAGAGTACATACCTTAAATCTGTGTAATCATGTTTTAGTGAGAAAACCTGCTACATCATCATGTGTTCTGATGAAATATGACACAGTTTGTGCCATCAGAAATTCAACACTAATGGAATATTAATTATAGAACAAGTTTAAGATTATACAATAACAAATTTTATTTCTAATGTTTAAAATGATAAGATAATTTTCTGCTGATGATAGAATTAATCATACATTTGATCTTTAATGTTCAAAATGATCAGTTTTACACTAAGTTGAGATTTTATTTGGAAAAAATAAATTTATTTCCATGTGCATTAAACTTGAATTTAAAATCATTAGTAACGTCATGTAAGAAGACTTTAAAAAATCAGCTTCTTAATAGACTGGGTAATAGATAGCACTATACTGCAATAAGAATAATAATACAATTAAAGACTGATGTTGTAACTACTAAGCCAGGAAAAAACACCTGCTTATATATATAACATAAACTATATAAACATAGGGGGGAATGAGATCAAACATCAAATCCTGGTCCCATGTTAAATTCTGTCTTCAAATACACTAAATATTTGTGGGAATTGTAATAAACAAGCTGATGTACTTTTAATATACTTTACTAATAAATGAACAGTGAAGTCTTATGGTCAATTAATGACATCCTGAGAAAAATAACTTTGATATCTGCTGTGATACCGAATGCTTCATTTCCATTTTAATTTACTTTTAAACCTACCCTCAAACTTTGGGTCTAGTTTTGCATCTTATCAAATTAAGGATGCTGAATGTATTATTGAGTGTGAACACTGCAACAACTTTTCAAAATTTAGTTACTATGAGAAAATGTTTACTGACTCAAAACAGATCACAGTGATTGATTATAAACAATAATAAACATAGTTTCTACCATTTTACAACAGCAACTATGCCTAATCACTGAAATGCTTACCAGTTCTTACTAAACCCCAAAGTACATGGGAGCAAGAGTCACAATATGTTGGTGTGGTGTAATTGTACTTTTCAAATCTATGAGGATGGGAGTAAACCTGAGGCTGAGTAGTCTCTCCAATCATCTTGCCTCTAACCAAAATTTCAATTGTTGACCTTTTGTGGATGGACCTCCCATGGGATTTAATAAGTTGTGTGGTGAAAGAGACTTGTCTCTAGATAAGGAAATGTTTTGTTAGACACAATGAAAATAGGTTAGGCCATAATATTTGTGAATTGTTTAAAATCTATGCAAATGCTACATTAAGTTCTATACAAAACTAAAAACATTCAAAGATTAGTAGTGAAATGTATTCCATGCCCATGTAAAGAGTATTCAATTCCTACACATGTAATATAGTAAGATGTATTCTATATAAATTTAATGAGGATTCAGTTCATACACACATAATATTGTAAAATGTAATCAATGTACACTTAAGGAGGACTTAATTCATACAGATGTAATATAATAAGATGTATTCTATGTACATTTACAGAGGATTCAATTGATACAGATGTAGTATAATAAGATGTATTCTAAGTACATTTAAGGAGGATTCAATTCATATAGACATAATACAGTAAACTAGCAGAAACATCGCCCTACGAGTAGCTGTTCAGTCAGGATCTTGGTGAGCTGAACAGTGTACTTTTCTGTCACAAAATTGCTCCTGACTTCTAATTGCATCTTGGTGAGCAATTTAATATGCTTCTGTATTTCTGGTTTGTTCCTGGCATCTTCTCACTAGATCTTGCCTCATAAGTTGGTGAGCAAGCCTATCTCTTCCTTTCTGTAACTTTCATCCTGACGTTTCATTTTCTTTCTCAAAGTTTCAGACTTTCTCCATGAGAAGTCACTTTTACATTTGTCAATTTTTGGCATCATGATTTTAGACGTTTCTGATCACTTTATACTCATACTGAAGTAAAAAAATACTTGTGTAGCTTATGAAGATTAAGTTACTACAAAATTCCTGCAAATCTGTATGCAACAAACTCCATACAAATGACTTACGATTCCTTTGGTCACAGAACAATTCAATTCATAACAAATGCTTAGATTCTCCAGCAGATAGTCACTTTTCTTTTGAAATATCACAATGATTCTCCACTAAGAACACTCACTTTTAATTTCTGCATTAAATTCACTTTGCCACAATTTTGGAAGTTTTATCTAAAAAGTTAATCCTCTTGATAATAATAAATGTACAAAATTAATGTACATTATTAAAAAGGAAAGAAGGACCATTTCTCCATTAAGAAAGTGATTTAGAAAACAATGTTATAAAATAAGGTCCTATTACCTTTTTTAATTTTAGTGATAGTCTATTTTATAATATTTTTCATTTTGGTGCCATATAAAGTGTTATTGATTTATTTGTTAAAAAAAGTGAACACAAGCACTAAATAAACTTTTTTTTAATAAGAGACTCAAGTATAAAGAAACTTTAGGAAATTCCCCTTATGATGTTGTAAAACTGTGCAAAGTTTCATCCAAATCAGACTTAAACTGTGGGAGGAGTTTTGCAGACAGACGGACATTAGCTTCTTATATATAGATAAGATATATTCTAAGTACACATAAGGAGGATTAATTCACATACAGATAATATAGTAAGTAAGTATTCAAGTACATTTGAGGAGGATTCAATTTATACATATGTGATATAGTAAAATTTATTCTATGTGCATTTAAGGAGGATTCTATTCATACAGATGTTATGTAGTGAGATGTATTCTATGTGCATTTAAGGAGGATTCTGTTCACACAGATGTTATGTAGTGAGATGTATTCTATGTGCATTTAAGGAGGATTCTGTTCATACAGATGTTATGTAGTGATATGTATTCTATGTGCATTTAAGGAGGATTCTATTCATACAGATGTTATGTAGTGATATGTATTCTATGTGCATTTAAGGAGGATTCTATTCATACAGATGTTATGTAGTGATATGTATTCTATGTGCATTTAAGGAGGATTCTATTCACACAGATGTTATGTAGTGAGATGTATTCTCTATGTGCATTTAAGGAGGATTCTATTCACACAGATGTTATGTAGTGAGATGTATTCTCTATGTGCATTTAAGGAGGATTCTGTTCATACAGATGTTATGTAGTGATATGTATTCTCTATGTGCATTTAAAGAATAATAAATAGAAGCACAGAATATAATGCAAGTTTATCAAAATTAGTAATCTGAATAAGGTAAGTAATTATAAATACATTTTTTAGTTTAAACGAACCTAGTTTCACATAACAGGGCTTATGGAGATTTACTGTGCCCATTACAATCACACAAATCAATTGTTACTGTTGTAAACACATCTCAAAACAGAATAAGAAAAGCTGATTCAAACAAATAAAACACCATAATATTTGCTCTATCAATTAGAATTGTAATAATGAAAAAAAAAAGAATTTGGTTTTTAAACTAAACATTGTGAACAATTAAGCTTAGTGTTCTATATACAGTTAACTCTCTCAATTTTATAGGTAGTTACATTCCTTCCGATTTCTGCAGTTCCGTCAATACACTGTTCTTCATATATCTTATAGTAGTTTTGTTACAAGATAAAACTAGATAGCAATAACAACATATAAACAGATTAAAATTACAACCAAAAATGATAATGGAGAGTATTATTGGCAAATCTTGTGGTAAATAGTTTGTCTAAGAAAGATACAGGAGACAGAAAATATCTACAAGTTCTGGGCTTGGAAGATAATAATGAAATTATTTAAAGAAGCCACTAAAAATACTAAATCCAAAAATAATGCACAGGACTTCTGAACCCCATTTAAACAAAATAAACTTTATAGTACAAGTTATTAAGTAACCTGAAACTAACTCCTTCAGATGAATAACAGTAATCAAGTATTAGTAACATATTGTAACCTGATTTTTGACCTCACTAAAAATTCCATCTCAAGTACATGGGGTGAAAGAAACAGCAGTAACAATAAAGGAACTAATAACAGGCCAACTAAGAGAATTAAATTTTAAAATAGGAAGATACAGAAGAAAAATAAGATGACGAGCCTTCACAATACTGATAATCCTATTAACATATTGTGGTCTGACCTAAATCATGATCTTAACAGTTTAAGAATGCTTGTTACAGCACATTTCTTTCAGGTCTATGAGCCACAAGGTTTATAATTACCTGAAATACAAGCTGAGAACAAGAAAAATACATGACTTATATACAGGCTGAGGACTAGTGGCAGGAAGAAACATAAGAATTTCATACAGGCTGAGGACTAATGGCAGGAAGAAACATAATACTTTCATACAGGCTGAGGTGTCTAGCGAAAAGAAGGAATATAAGACTTTCATACAAGCTAAAGACTAGTAAAGTTTCAAAGATTAACTAGAAACAAGGGCAAAGTACTATGGAGCATCATGGAATAACAGGAGTATAGAAATATCAAATCATCTACAAGTTATAACTTAGTACAGAGTTGTTTGTGATTCCAATACAGTGTCAGCTGAAACTGAAATTCTTGCACACTGTATGAGAAGTGCAACTCAATCTGACGTATTCATAGAACAAAATGTTTAACTTCCATACATTCAGATCAAATTCCAATAATAATCAAAATATAAAAATAAAAACTCACTGTATGTGAATCCAAACTAGGTAGCTCTAGCTTATCCCACAACACCAGCCACTTCTGGGGTAAATGTCCAAGCTCAGTTTCAAGGTGAGGGATGACCTGAAAATGGGAGAAAACACTCTTGAAGAACACTATTTCTGTATTTGTGAACTTTACATACATTCAACTTCACAAGTTTGATCTTCTTTTCTACTCTTACTTTTTTATTGATCTCCAGGTACTAGCAATAGACAAAATCTAACACTGACCAGTCCATGTAGGTGATGAATCTTGGGTATACTAGTACTTTTAAACACATTAAGTCCACAAATTATACTCATATTTTTATTAAAAACTTTCTGATATAATATAACAGATATGAAGGCTATGCCTCAAACATGCATGTGACTGATCTGAGAGAAGTGGCAAGAGTGAATACCGTGAGTGACTAAATCATGAAAAAATAAATAAAATGGAATCTACACTTATGTTACACCTTTAAATCTCAAAGTTAGTTAAGGTTAAGTTGTCTTAGACATAATTCAATATGTGCAAATGGATGATAAAACCAATCTCCACACCTAGAAACTATGACCTTGGGTCACATGAACACATGTCAATTGTACTCAAAATACATTTCCCGATTTACATAAGGTGTGGAGCTAAGCACTACATTATTTTACACATATGATCATTATGCTCCAAAATAAAGACATTTAACTCTCAGCAAAAAGGGAAATCAAAAAGTAAAACTGAAAGACAAATAGGGCTACGTTTGAAGGTTTGTTTGCTTGCCAGGAATTCAAAGATAGTTCACCAGGCAGCATTCAAGCAGTGACAGATGAGTTTTTTTCTCTTGTTAATGGAAACTGTTTGTCAATTTTTGAATATTAATCATGCATTAAATGTTATTTGCATGGAAAATTAGATCTTTTGATTTGTATATGCCCACTACTTAATGAAAGGTTATTGTATTAAAAAAACAAATACACACACACACACCACCAGAATGAGATTATATATAGCAGCTACTTTCATGCATTAGAGCAAACCATTACGATGAAGCATAGAGGAACTGTTTCAATAAAATGTACTAAACTTATAGTGTATGAGATGTAAGATCCATATTTATTTTCTAAACAAAGTGTTACTGTTACTTTGTTCTGTTTTATTGTTTGTCTGTATTTTTACTATTTATTTATTTGGCAGATTCCTTTATCCAAGGCATATGTTTAATTACTCAACAATGTTATTAAAAAGAAATGTGAGTGATAATAACACTCTCTTGCAGCTTACTGTTACTGAAGTACCATATTTATCTAATAATAGTTAGTGTTACTCTGTTTTGTTGTTTATTCATTATTAAGTTCATTAAGCATACTTAATTAATCATTGTTTAATTACTCAACAATGTTGCTAAAAAGAAATGTGAGTGATAATAACACTCTCTTGTAACTTACTGTTACTGAAGTACCATATTTATCTAAAAATAGTTAATATTACTCTGTTTTGTTATTTAAAAAATTCTGAATTTTCCCCTAGTGTGAGAAATGTGACATTTTTTCTCTAGGCATCCCCTCATATCTAATTTATTCACCAACCCTCCAACAAGTACGAAATTTAATGTAAATTACTCATTATAATATTTTCATTGCCTTCAATCTTGTTTGGTTACACAGTCATGAAATAGAAAATCAGACCCCTCTTGCACACCCACCTGTCACATTCTCTCTTTCAGGATTTGTCAACAGTTCTCTCTATCATTTAATACTATATTATTTATAACCAATACAAAGCCAAGGTTTTAATCTATCATATAATGTATTATATTATATTGTTTTCTGTACAGAGAATTCTAGAAAGAAAAAAGGGTAATCTAGATTTATTTCAATTGTTTTTTTGGTGGTTATGAGGTTGGGCAAATTGACCAACCTTGTGTACAGTTAGGGTAGAGAAAATAAGAGATGTAATATAATGTTATACTGAAAAAAAAACGTTTGAAATATATTTAAAAGGTTTTAGAGAGTACCAAATGAAATGTGAGATTTTGAGATGAAGAAAGGTATTTTTAACCTTAACATGAAAATCACTTTGCACATGGACTAGTAAAAGAAAAATCCTTATTATAAATATTTCATTAAAAAATCTTATTTTTCATATGTAAAAGACATGTAATGTTTACTGAAAATCTACCAAATTTTGTGAAGATTCACATACTATATTAAAAGTTAGTAGTATCGTAACTATAACAAGTACAAAGTGGTCACGTGGTTGGTCAATTCGACTGAGCCCATGTTGAGACTTAGCCTATTTGGAACAGTAACAGTTAAGTACAGATTTGTTTTACATAAGTCAGCTCTAGTTCTTTTAATTTGTGACAACAGAGATGCTCTTGCAATGCAAGTATATTGTATGTAGCTATATAAGTATCGAACATAACATCAAGTGTGTATATATAAACCACATGTATTTTATGTTTTAAAATATAAAAACAAGATTACTGTTCTATACAACATATTTTTAAGCTACATGTAAATGCTTCATTTCATTTATATGGATTACCTGTGGAATAAATATCTTCGATCCAATATAAACTAGTAATTATGGTGAGGTCAATAATAAATCATGTAAATCACTACTGTCAAAAGGTTCGAATATTTATTCAATAATGTGTCCCAAAAACCTTTGAAGGTCAAAATTTACCATTTGTTTCAGTCCTGATGATAACCAACACATAAATATAAATTTACAATTCTGTTATACCTCTAATAACTGACCAAACACATCTGGTTGAACAGTTTGAATGTTATCATAACAGGTATTGACTATTCTGCGAGATGTCTCTCGAGAAATGCCGTCAGCTGCTTCTGATTCTTCTTCCCTTTGCTTCTCCATGGCAACTGCTTCTAGGTCATATGGTGGACCATGTGAAAGCTCTTCTTTAAGATAGTAATCCCAAATCTCCAAGTTGGAAATATTAGAATATGGTCGTAAGACCTAAAAAAAGTTAGAATTGAACAAAACAGACAATAATGCTTGCAGGACAAAATTAAAAATTTTTTTTTGTACACAAATTAATTTCAAAACTGAGATTACAACTGAACTACTTTAAACATTTTCATGCCCGAGCATATTTAACGCAATCACTTGTACAATGTGAAAAAGTGTTTATGAGATAGTATTTAGCTAGACCACAATATTTAGTACCTCAGTCATCTGTTAATCATTGGGCCGTATCAATTTAGTTATTGAGATTGTAACTATTATACTTTAGCTAGGTTATTGATCAACTGTCAAAATGTCAGTCGTTACCTTATTGGTTTATTATTTTCTTAACAATTTTTATTTCCTTCATTTTAATAAATAGCTTGTCATTATTTTCTTTAACTTTGCTATATTTTCATTACTATATTGTTTTAACCTTGTGTTTCTATCTTATGTAACATTCTTTTCTCATTTATTCCTTTCAGAACATCCTGCAATCAGTCGTCATTAGCTAACACTTATCTCTGGCTACAAATGAAAGTGTTTGCTTAAAACATTAGCAAGACAATAAAAAATATAACTAAAGATTTTTATGGTGATTTATCTCCAAAACTAATATGTGTGAGTAGTCAGTCTTGTGAAATAACTATGAAAAAATTTACAGTATAAATTAATTTCAGTAAGTTTTTTTGTACAAGTGGAACCAAACTCAGCTGATTATGTTGGTAGAAGTGCCTAAATTTATTAGATAGATTGTAATAAATAACTTCAGAAATACATTTACCTTCTAGGCAAATGTTTCCCTTATGTACTGCTCAACTGTCAAGGTGACAGTTTTTACATTTTAGTACTGCTCAACTGTAAAAGTGATAGCTTTTACATTTTAGTACTGCTCAACTGTAAAAGTGACAGCTTTTACATTTTAGTACTGCTCAACTGTCAAGGTGACAGCTTTTACATTTTAGTACTGCTCAACTGTAAAAGAGCTTTTACATTTTAGTACTGCTCAACTGTCAAGGTGACAAGCATACAAATCAAACTCAGCTGATGGTCAGCAGTGAAGTGATAAAGGTAATAGCTGATCATTACTAAATTGATGAACACAACAGCTGCTTTCTTGTAATTGGTCAGTACTCATTTAAAGTGTAACAGCTATCATCTTGACAGTTGTTCAGTACTAAAGAGTCACAGCTATCATCTTGACAGTTGTTCAGTACTAAAGAGTCACAGCTGTCACCTTGAAAGTTGGTCAGTATTAAAGTGTACCAATTGTCACCTTGAAAGTTAATCAGTATTAAAGTGTAATGGCTGTCACCTTGAAAGTTGGTCAGTATTAAAGTGTACCAGTTGTCACCTTGAAAGTTGGACATTATTAAAGTGTACCGGTTGTCACCTTGAAAGTTGGCCAGTATTAAAGTGTAACGGTTGTCACCTTGAAAGTTGGTCAGTATTAAAGTGTACCGGTTGTCACCTTGACAGTTGAGCAGTACTAAAATGTAAAAGCTGTCACCTTGACAGTTGAGCATTACTAAAATGTAAAAGCTGTCACCTTGACAATTCTTTTACCTAATTTTATATAGATATCACCCATTCTTTGTTAAAACAGAAGTGATCCACATAGTTCATATTTTTGGTATATTGAATACATAACAAGTGAATAAAATCATTTACAGAAATTAAACACTTTATCTGAAAAATTATAAAAAATACATCTTAATTAAAAAAGGGTTAATTTCTTTAAAAAATATTGGAAATGTAACAATATTTACTGAGATTGTAAATAATAATTCTTTAAAATTTTTAACACTTACTCCATCTTCTTGAAAAGGAATGTAAAAGAAGTTATAGAACATGGCAGATTTTGTCCACAGTTTGTCTATATATTCCCACAGTGAAAGACCAAGAACACTTGAGGTACTGTTAAGAGTACCTGTCTTTCCAGAGAACCCTGTTTCATCATCTGATCCACTGTCTAGACCACGATATTTAGATCCTCGATCATCTGTTAACCACCCTGCCTCTTCCCTCTCACACTCACTATCCAAAAGAAATGTGCGAAAGCGACACGAGGCATAATGGTAGGCCATAAATTTCAGAAAGTATTGGTTGAATTCGAAAGATAATGGAAATTGCAAATGAATCTATAAAGAAAAATATGGAGATTAAGTTCTATGTATCTCACAATTATTGGCTGATATGAATTTTTAATCATCATATTGTGTAAGAAAGAAGCCTATTCCTAAAACATAAACAATTAAGGATAGATAGAAATAGTAACTTGTTTTTCGTTATGGCCTAGCAAGTCTAGCCTTATATTGAAATATATGTTTCATTCCTCTACAGATACCACAAAAGTCATACTCTGTATAATGAAATGCTTAATTTTTTTAATATGATTTGGACATAATTTTCATTGGCCAATTCAACATATAATTTCAAAAGACCTACTATTACAGAAACAAGTTTATATAGGAAGAAGTTTAGACACTTTCATGCAACCTCTTCATTCTAACTTTTTGAAACTGTCAAAACTTGTTTATTTATAAACTTGTTGTTCCATAATAGTGGATATAAACTTCATATTATATTACTTTACACAATGTTGTGTATTTACCTACTAATATAATTTCAAGTTGTGAAAACTAACAGTTGTCTTAGTGTTAATTATTATGTATCCCAATGGAATTAAATTATACCTCTACAAATAGCTTACATATACATTTCATTTTGTAAGTTTTACAAATTAAAAATAAATTCTTCTACAACCAATTATTATTGCAAGATAATTTAAACTAAACATAATGTATACAATATAACTCATATTTTTATGAACGGACATGCCAACTACAGAATATGGCCCATGGAAGATTATTAAAACTTTCTGTCTTGTAGTTGATCAATGATAGCTTACTAATGATATCCTGCATGCAAAAATATATGACTTAACTTTTTTCCTTTTTACAAAGGGATGTTTGTCTTTCTATAACTTGTGAATATTTTCAACAGTTAGTTTAAACTAGCTTTTACTCATCTCACCAGCTGTAATTTACAACTCTTTATTAACAATAACCTAAAACAACACTTACTATCAAAACTATCAGATTTCTTGGTTTAATTTGATTTCACATGCTTTAAGCAGCCCATCAATATCAACATGATAGTCTACTTATTAAAGTTCTTTTGAAAACTTCAAGTGTTTAAAAGGTTCACTGCATGGAAATTGTTTCACTAATTAAAAGCATTTTGATTGCAAGTTCACAGCTGCCTAGTTCCAAAATGAATTATCAGAACAATATACACCTAAAAGGTCTTAAGGATAGTTTGGAAAATTTGTGAAACGATTTAAAAAAGAAGTACTTTGTGCAAAGTTAAAAAAATATGACATTAGTATAATAATGCACAAAAAATAAGTTAGTAACCATAAAAAAAACCTAAATAGCTTCAACAGACCAAGTTTTTTCATTCTCATGGATGAAGTAAAACTGTTCTCAGGTCACTAGGTATACCTATGACCACAGTATTTTGGAAGTCTGAGTTCAAACCAGCCTAACATCCACTAACTAATCAGAAAAAACTCAACCCTATTTAGAAATCAGTTTGAACCTGAACGTACAAGATGCTGTGATCACAGGCATCTATACATAGTGACCTGAGAGCAGTTTTACTCCATCCCTTGAGAATGACATGCATAGCCTCTCAAAACCAGTCAGGTTTTTGATATTTTGTTAATGCTTTACTCTTTTGTGCATTATTATATGCTGATGAATAATTATTGTTGTTGTTCTTCTTCTGTGAAGAGACATTAACTATAAGCATGAAAGAATAATTACAAACTTGCCTGATGAACAACATCCAGAAATTGCAAGAATACAGGTGTAAATCCACTGGCCAAAGTAGCAGCAGTATGGTTGCCTCTATGACTGAAACGATGACCAAATGCTAGCCATTCCTTCTCAATCAGGGTGCGAAATCCTTCAAAGGTACGGTAATAAGGATCAAGACAGAGCTGGGCAATAGATGATACCTTTAAGTAAAAACAAAGTTTGTGAAATATACATAAGCCAGACAAAATAAACAAATAAAAAATATCACATTGTAAAATACTACAATGTCATTCTGTAATACTTACTTATGGAAATATTTTACATGATCTATGAATCTTTTAACTTTTTGGAAAGCTTATTTAAATTATCTTTTGGATACTGACAGACTAATAATTAATATATACAACTAAACTAGGGCTTAATATAATTAAATCAATTGTAATTAAAATCTCTTTATCATTCACATAATCATTAACTAAAAAAAATATCAGAATGTCTACAAATTGTATTTCTGATGTGTGAATACGTACATGATAGATTCATTGGAAAACTGAAGTTTAAAGCATAACTGGAGCTTGTGTTGATGATAGCTTGTAACAAAGAAAAGTTTAAAACGTATTATATAACTTACATCATAAAACAACTGGAAAAATATATATACAAACCTGAGAAGTGAAATCCCACCCATCTTCTAGACAAATCATCACTGATGAGCCCTGCACATCCATCAAATCTACCACCACCCCAGAGAGTTGCAGGATGATTTGGAGCTGATGGTGATTACATAACAAACACCATTATAAACTAACAATGCATTTCTGTACAGTTCTTCACAATTAACTATTTTATATGTTTGGTCTCTATAATTATATAATTATAAAAATATATAAAACATCAAACTATATCTTAATCAAAGTGTATTATTAAAAAAATACACACAATAATTAAGCTATTTAATGAAGTTAATGATGTGTATAATTCCTAAAAATAAGATGAAGTTACAATATTTTATTCTAACCATGGGATAAAACTATATTTAATTATTTCATATTCTAACTTCTGAATTATTGCAAGGTGTCACAGCTGAAAAAATTGCTTCAAAGGCAAACTTCTTTTAACTATTTTTTTACTAATTTAACTTTTTACATAATAAAAACAGCTATTAAGTACATGTTCAATAAACAATATATGTTGTAAGAAGCAACCAAATTAATGAATCAAAAGTCTAACTAACTAATAATGTATTAAACGTTTGATATTTCAGTATAACATTATTCATAATTTTTACATTACACAGAACTATTTAATAGTATATAACTTATATTTTCTATGGCAGTATGTCATTTTAAAATAAAGAAAAGGTTATTTTTAATAATAACATGTTTACTAATCACAGTACCATTTAAAAAACTTTAACCTCATTAACTCTAAAATGCCCAATGGTGTTGATTTAAAGTGCTTGCCATATAATTCATTTTATTGCACTGAAACGAAGAAACTACTCTATGAAACAGTTTGAAACTTCAGAATTATTTCCTACAGAGTATGTAGCTTCTATAAATTAAATATTTAATTTTTTTATGTGATATTTGTATGAATTAGCAAATTGGAAATTCAAACAATTTCATTGCAATATGTTTTTTTTAAGAAACATTTAAATGTTGCAATTTTGTCAGGCATGATACAGTTTAGCCTAACTGTGAAACTCCTAATCAGTATAAACATTTTGCTGCAGTCATCACATAATTCTTATACAGTTATTTATTTCAAGTTTAAAAACCCAGAAAGAAATAACTTATAAAATATTAAAAATTAGGTTTAATTTTGCTGCTTGTTCTACCAATGTACTTTACTAGATGTTGATCCCTAGTCCTCTTTCTAATGTTTAATCATACTAGGGTCATTTCATCCAGCACTCTTTTTGACAATCTTATAGTGCTAATTTGTTTAACTAGAACCATTCTAACAACTATCTTGTCAATTTGGCTTCATCTAAGTGAAAAAGAGCGAAGAGAAGTTTTGTATAAATTTAGTTTTGAATTGAAAAAAAATTATCACATTATAGCTAAAGGCTTTCTTGTTTAACTTTATAATCGTTTTGTTTGATTTTTGTAACAAGTTGGAAGGTAATCAACATATTGAACTATTTCCTAAAGGTTACAAACGTGATATCTAGAGTTAGGTTAGTTCCATTTTTGATAGCTGAAAGTTGTTACAAATATTAAAAAACCTTAACAATGTTATTTACCCCTCTTATTATTTTAAAATACACTTTATCCCAAGAATGTGTTTGTGATATATCACAAATGACAAAACATTTCTGTGAATTTGTTCAGAAGTATAATTTTATGTTTACAAATAAACTTATTCTTATTTTTAGAAATGCTAGTTTATAAGATAAAATACATTTTCTCATACTTGGTTCAACCACTCTGAGTTCTCTATGCTTCTAAAGAAATTTAGGTCAGGATCTGTAATAGGGTCACTTGGGATACATGCACGCATCAACTTCTTGAAACTAGTCTTGATCTGACGTACGTCGGTGAAGTCAACAGGAACGAAGTCACAATTGGGGTAGGACTCGGGTTTTATACCCTATTTATGTTAAAAAATATTAATTGAAATACCATTAAAATGTTTTTAAAAGGTATAATTCCTTATAGTATGTATAATTTCTACCATTGCACATGAAGAAAGTAGATAATCTTGTATAAGTAACGTGTGATGTATCTATTTTGGCAAGTATTAGTGTATGTAATACTTTGACATGTGTGATGTATCTATGTCAGCAAGTCTTGGTGTATACAACATTTTGATGGGTATGATGTAGCTTAGTGAATGTAATACTTTTTTTAAATAATAAAATAAAATTATAAGGGTTATAATTTTAATTGCAGTAAGACATTGTCTTTGCCAATCAAAATTTCAGATGTGAAGAAAGATGGGAAAATAAATTTCCATAAAGTCACATATATACACATTTAGAATATATAAAATACTTCATTATAGATTTAAATACCCTTTTTATCAAAATCCTGAAATCTATCTACTGTCTGTTACAAATCAGTGCTATCTGTTACAAATTTTAAGAATTTTCTGACCTGTATAATGCTGCTTGTTGTAAATATGGCACATTTATTTGTATTATAGAACCTTACACTTAATGAAATGAAATAAATAAAATGAAATAGCTTTAACATACTCAGTATTTGAAACAAAAGTAAATTATCAACACAACGTGGTATTCATAGAAGCAAAGTGCAAAACAATATAAAAAATAAGAACCAATGCTTGCCTTGATCTGAGCTTTTTCTCCTAAGACATACAGTGCCACTCTGTGGAATGTGTGGATACTTCCTTCCAGTCCATCTGTGAAATCAGAGATGTGTGTTGTGCGGTAACCCATCTCTGAACCCAAACTAGTGAAGGACCCTTGTCTTATTCCCTTAAGGCTGCCCCATCGTGATTCTGTGAAGATTAAAATCTAGGTTAATAATCTTACTCTGTGACAAATAATAGAATGACTAATCTTCTATCTCGTTACATATAAAGTACAAAGTTACTTAGTAACTAATATAGTGCTGACTGAGTATAAACATATCATATGATAAAATGGACACTTGATTTCAGAAAAAATAAATAATCTGCTCAGAAACATTCTACACAAATTGTCTACCTCAATAACAATTTCCTTATTCTTTATCAGAAATATCTTCATGCAAAAACCTTAGTAAATCAAAAAACATTTTATGTAAAATGTAATACATAAGAGAATGAATCATTGAATCAAACAAATAACTTGGTAATTCTAAGCAGGTTAAATCTTATAATGTATTCTTGAGATAAGGGCTGAAAATATCAAGGGTACTGAACTGATGATTTAAGGTAAAGTTGTCATAAAAGCTTTTTGTAGTTTGCTTAGTACTCATAATTTATACTACTTATTATTAACTGCAATTGTTATTGTGGATTTTTGTAATATCTTCAAATATATTAAAGTCTAGAAATTATTTTTATGTTGACCAGCACAAAAAACTATAATTATAAATACATCTTTGATGTACAGCTCTTATAATAATAACTTATAGGCAAGAACAATGCAGTTACAAAAGTTTTATATTTAAAATAACTTACTATTCTAAATTCAGGAAAACTGTCTCAGCAATGACTTGAAAATGATATAATTAAGAGCAAAGCAAATATAAATGAATGCCTCATGCACCTCTTATTTAATAGATATTATCATCAAATTTTTCTACAGACTTGCACTCTTCAAACTCAAGACAAGTCTGTGAAAATATAATAGAACAGTAACATGAAATGTTAGAATAGTAAAAAATTCTCAAATTTCTTTAACATAGGAAATCTAGATTTCATAAGAAATTTGGCATGAGGTTAAAATTCCTAAAATCAAACACATTTATTTTTGTGCAACTAACGTCTTCCACTTTTCCCACCAGATGATCGCAAGGTGTTCACTGCCTTCTGCAAAGGGTTACCACGTTTTGCTAACTCAGGGGTTAATGTTGGAAAATTGTCAAGACCACTGGAACCCAGCAATAAAGAAGTGATACTGAGTGTGGAATCATTAAATCCCAGTCTACTTCCTTGAGCAATAGGTGTACAATCAACAATGGTAGAAATAAATTTCTCTTGTTCAATGTGTGCAGATGTTTCACTCGATGTGCCTATTTCAAAGAAAAACAAGGTCAAAGAAATTTTGAACAGCTTTACTAAGTATTGATTCATAAGTTTTGTTTATTTAGATATTTACTATTCACTTAAATTGTCCTTCTATGGACAAAAATGGGCATTTCCAACAACATTTGAAAATAAATATATTTAGACGGTGCTACAAAATTCTTTATTCTAAGCTTGTATCATTATTTTTAGTAAAATTGCAAGTTCACAGTGTCTTTACAGGATATCTAGCATTTCAAAAATCACTTATAGTTAAGAGTTTCCATGTTCTTTTTAAGATGTTTGCTGGTTAAAATACTTAAATTACAGAATACTATACGAGTTGAAGTACAATTTAAATGTAAAGTGTTATGTTTTATTGTAATAAATAAATAATTTTCCAACTAACCTGAAACTACTTAAATGTATGTTTGTAACCTTATTTCAAGCATTGTATTTCCTATTATTCAATTCTTCCTTACTTTGTAATCTAGTACATGGAGCTATTAACTCTTTCAGCACAGGCTCGGTCCATAGGACCGACCTCGCAACCACTTTGTGCTTGTTATAGTTTTCATGCTATAACTTTTAAATTAGTAATCTAGTACATGAAGCTATTAACTCTTTCAGCACGGGCTTGGTCCATAGGACTGACCTCGCAACCACTTTGTGCTTGTTATAGTTTTCATGCTATAACTTTTAAATTAGTAAGCGTATGTTAACGAAATTTAGCAGATTATCAGTAAACATTATAAATACTTTCATATGCAAAATATCAAACATTTTTTTTATTAAGTCTTAAGGTTTGTTAAGCAATGTTTTTCTCATGGCTTTTTTTTTGCATGTTGGATAGGCAACATGCAAAGTAATTTTCATTTTAAGATTAAAAATACTTTTATGCATCAGAAAATTTTCAAATTTCACATGAAAAATCCTTATAATGTCCAGATAGATATCAAATGTTTCTTAAGAAAAAAACTTTATTTTATCTGTTATTTTCACTACCGATTCTCTGTATGGGTTTGGTAGATCTGACCAATCTCGTAAACACCATAAAAAATTAGGAAATAAATATAATTATGCCTCTTTCATTCTAGAATGACACCTAATTATAACACAAAAACATAAATGTTTAGACTAAACAGCTTAAATCTCATAACATTATACATTTACATATATATTTATTGATTTTATTATATTGACCTTTCACCCGTGCCCTGGTATTACTATATCCAATAATATAAAACTGACCTTTAGTCTTTACAAAATGACCCGTCTATGCTGTGTTTTAGTAGACTAGTATTTGTAAAATACAGTCACATTTCAATTATTATAGATTATATATGTATATAGATTATTACTATTTAGAAATAACTTCTTAAACATATTTTTCTTAAAATCTAGAACAGTAACTAAAGAAGTAAAGCAGAGAATTATCTCTTCTGGTTATGACCTTTGTACTTGGTTGCTGCTTGACGTAGGTTGTTAAGCCTTTTAAGATTACGCACATGGAGGATATGAAACAAAATTTTTTTAGGTTTTTTTATATACACAGTTGAATAACCAGAAAATAATAAATTACTATATCGATACCACAGAATTCCTCTATAATTTATCAAGCTTAGTAAATAAGTTGTATTTTGGTCTAAAAAACATGAAATTTCAAGCAGACTAAAGACACAACCTACCTCCTTGAAATCTTGGTTCAAAAGAATGAGATGGCATCCTAACACTTGAAAATGGCTGAGAAAGCCAGCAGGGGGACATTCTGAGCTTTTTATTCGTTATTCACATGAAGTAAGTGTACACAAGGGACTGTTTCCAAAAATGGAAAGAGGTGAGCAAGGCCACTGTGTTTGATTCAGTACATGAGTGATATCTCAGCAAATAGAAAAGATATGAGGTTCTTATTTTATATTCTAGTTTGTCAATATTGGTAATTTGAGCTTCTAATTCGTACAAAACTATAGAGTTAGTATTTTGACATCACAAACATCTAGTTTGAACCAGTGCTGCATTCAACATACCACGTGACATGCAAAAATCGCTGTTTAACTGTTTTTTTTTAATATTTACTTTTAAACTTAGAAATTGAATAATGTATAATACTAAAATCTGATTTATAATCCACAATTATATACTAAACTGATTGACATAAATTCAATAAAGTAGTTCAATAAAATTTTGAATGCAAGTCATCAAACGATATGACATGGCCATTGAACCCTGTCAAATCAGAAAAGGATTAAATAAAATAGAGTATAGATAAAATATAAACCAACTCGCATAAAGAGCAAGATGAATAAATAATAAAATGCTCTGGCCAGTGGGTTCAATTATATTGGTAGTTAAATTTCATTTCAAATTTGTTTTATTACTTTGAAAAGACAGCAACACTATGGCAACATCTTTAAATATGGTTTGTTTTATCCTTATAACACGTGATTTGTAAGATGTCACACAGTAAACATTTAACAATGAATTTTTACTTCAATATTTTTGCACAACAGTTTATCATACTTATAGGATGAAATATTTATATTTTTTTCAATCAAAACTGGAAATATGTTATGCATAACAAAGTACAACAAAAATATATGAAACAGGAATGCCAAATTGGGTCTGGAATATCATATTTTATATTCCATTCCTCACCTTCAAATTTTTCATTATTTTATATTTTGAATTTTCTAAAGTGATTTAATCAAACTCCAAATCTTTCTCAACACTAGTAAATTTTTATCCTCCAAACTGATCCATATCACTACTAATTTCACTTTAAGTTATAAACACCCATTGAAAAGAACTGTGTCAAACAAAAATAGTCAAACACTCATGGAACATTTCTAACTCTTAAGTTCACATTAATTTTTCAGCAGAACACTCACTTGTCCTATATGTTTTAAATATGGGAATGAAAAAGTGAAAAGAGGTCATCAAAGACAAACAGCAAAATCAAATATCAAATAAAAACAAACTTAGGGCAAATAACTTAGGGTCAAATTCAAAGCATATAGGATTAGTTAAACTATCATAAACAATCTTTTTTCTTTCAATTACTTAATCCATTGACTGTGGCTGCAGAAGTTTTGCAAGCCTTACACAGTATATGGCACATTTGCATTCAACTGCCAGAGGCAGACTGTACCTTCTATAGCAAATCAGCAGCCAATGGGTTAATATTACAAAAAGTTGTTCATCAATATCTATTATTTTGATAACAAACTATAATTTTGATCTACTTTATTATTAAACAGTATCCAATTGTTTCAGAGTTTTATTAATTAGAATATTTTATACAGGGAAACAATAAAACTATCCAAATAAAATCAAAACTTTTGGATGAAAGATAATTCATTTAATTTCTAGATTAATAATAACATTCCATGGAAGATATAATGACCATGAAACTACCTGATGAAGCAGGTGGCCCTTTGAGTATGCCTATAACTCCTTTTCCAAGAAAACTGCTGCCACGTAAAAGAAGAGCCTTTTTTTGTGGATGGCACCATGTGATTACTGGAAATCTAATGTTAGAAAAACAAAGCTACACGTATCATATGTTGAATATACCACAGAAGCATAATACACACAAATCCTATGTACAATATACCACACCAAAAAAGCATAATACTACATCATTATTCAGTATTAAGTGCTAGTATTAGATTTACAGTTGTAAAAGGTCGAAAAAACTAAAGATATGGTAGCATTTTTTGC